GATGTCCAAGCTGCTGGACAACATCATGGACAGCACTCCCGACCCCCTCCATATGACATGCTTGTAGAAATGAAGAGCATGTTTAGAACTGGGCTGATTCAGTCCTGGTGCAACAGAGGAAGACAATCGTGCCTACTACCATACGTCATAATTCCTCAACTATGTGCAGACTGAGAACCATTGATCTTTAATGAATTAGAATTAGCAAAATTTGATCGTTTTTGGTGGAAAATTTGTTATTTATATTTTTGGTACCTTCAAGACCTCCTTTATCATGTGGATAAGTAGTCACTTACGTTGTTTTTTCGAGAAAATAATGGGTTGTCTTAACCGTAACTTCCAAAAGCCCATAAGAAACCATGCAATGCAGAACACTACCATGCAATGCAGAACACTGTAACACCAGTTACCGCTTTTTGGCTTTGTTTTGGAATGCTCATATTGAGGTACGGGACTCTGCCTTAGTTCAGTCGTGCGTCAATATAGAGAGCTCAAGTCCCTCCCCTTCCGGTCGACCACCATGGGACCTTATTTCGGAAAAATATTGAATGGTAGTTTAAAAGGTCGAGAGACAACAAATATTTTGATCTCGTTTGAATTGTGCCCTGAATTACACATATGATGTTTGTCATTTTAAAAGATACTTTTTAAACTAAAGAAAGTCGCAGTTTGATGTAAAACCGTTGAGGTATAAGACTTTGAAAATACGTAATTACAAAGACTACAAACCCCAAAGGCGCACATTTTCTCTCAATGAATGAAGCTAACTTTACTGAGGCTATTGTCTGTCGTTGTTTCTATAGTCTTACGTTATAATCGTAACGTTACGCCGTCATACCTGAGTGTTTTGTACCAGACGAGCAGCGGATCTCACTCGTTGTTTCGCTTCCTGGGAGATGTAGTTCATAGAGCGATTTTCACATACAGTAAAACTAAATGTTACTCTTCTGTTTTATGACAAACTGCAGAATTATCTTTTAAATTGACAAACATCATATGTGTAATTGAGGGCACAGTTCAGATGGAATAAAAAGATAAGTTGTCTCTCACCATTGACTACCATTCATATTTTGTCCGAAATAAGGTCCCATGAGCCGGAAGCGGAGGGGCGGGACTTAGGCTCTCTATGAAGTTACTGTGCTGGCGTTCTATCAAATAATGCTACACTCTAAAACTTGCTGGGTTGTTTTAACCCAACTTTGGGTCAGATATGGATAAACCCAGCTATTGGGTTACACTTTTTAGTTACATTTTTAACCCAGCGTTTGGGTTTGTCCATATTTGAACCAAAGTTGGGTTAAAACCAAGCGGCAACATTCTAATCTGAAACATGAAGCCTACCCGGAAGTGCGAAAAACTGCCATCCATCTAAAATCCGCTAGAGGCCGGTCCCAAAAGGGAGCAAATGTCCATATACCCCATGTTAAAATGTCCGTTTTCACAGCATAAATTCATGTTTTTACAGTTTGGTCCCATGGACTTTTATTGTAATCTTCAATATGTTCCGCGTGCCTGACAACTGTAAGGGGGGTGAATTTTTTTCTAACTCATTAGTTTAGATCGTATTTAGATATAAAATGTATGACAAATAAGGGCGGTTAACTGTATTTCCCAAGATTTTCCAGTATGGCGCCGCCCATACCCCCCATAAACAGCCTCAAAACTGCTCTTCAGAGAGTCTATGGGTGACGTCACAGACGTTTTGTCCATTTTTAAAAATTTTTTTTGCAGTCTATGGTTATTTTGAGAGTGTACCTATCAGATTATACGGTGTTCTGCCTTTGTTTTACTCTCCATTAAAATTACGATGTTGCCTGTGTACTTCTGATGGCCTGCACTAATGCGGTCAGAACATTTAGTATGCTCTTAACCAGCTCCATCGACAAACGTGCAATATCGATTGCGAAGGATATATGCAGAGTTGACAGAGAAATGTCACACATGCTGTAGCAGGTGAATAGCCTACTATAACAAAGAACTAAAGCCCCGCCTCACACAGTTCTGGTTCCGGACCTGATTATAACAATCATGCATCTAGCTGGCACAGTGCCAAAACTTTGCCGCCGGTCGAGCCGACGCGGGACTTATATCACAGGGAGTGATGATAATGAAGCAACATGGGTATATTGGTGCATAGAACATAATGAAGCAAGAAATGCTGGTGCATACAACTTCAGACCAGCTGTTGCAAGCAAGTTATACAATCACAGCGTCCGGAATACATCACAAGCACAATAATAGGGCAGACAGCTGAAACCACCACTACTGAAAACACACAGCGGCAGAAGAAGGTTGTGCTTTAAATGCATTAGTTATCTAGGTAGTCCAGAACGCGCTCCCTATTGAGTTTCAATGGGGAAAGAACTGCGTAGACTACTTTTCGTGAACGGATGAGAGCGTGACACCTTGAACACGACTCTCGGTAAACGCCTGTGAAAGTATGCATATTTCAGATCCACCGCTATAAACCAGTCTCCGGGTCGAGAAAAACCATACTCTATGCCGCTATGGAGGTATTTTGTCATGTCTAATGTATTAATAGGGCCACCAGAATGCAACCAAAGCATGTAGATGGCTAGGTAACTGAAGGTAATAAGTACATGGCTTTAAGTAATTGTAAATCATACAAAATAAATGCCATGATCACAAGTCTGTATAGGTGTTAATTTAATGATTTTGTTAATGGTGATCAGCAACCAAATATTAATAATGTGGAAGTTACTGTCTTTTGCCTTGGCATGACTTCTCACTTTTTTGCTGACAATACAAAGGCAGAGAATAGTAACTTTAAAATAGTCAAAAGTCAAGTTTGATAATCCTATAATACTTATAATTAATTTGGCGGGACAACTAAAAATCTTTAAAGTAATTTTTCTCAGTTCCACATCTAGCGAGTTAAAGGAGAACTCCGGTCAATTTTAACATTGAGCTATTTTTTGTGTATATTTGGAGTGCTGTCAGTACAGACAAAAAACGACAAACATCTGTGTTGCCTACACCGTGTTATCGTCTTTTTAAAATTCGCACCCTGTTGACTTCAATGGGGCATGTTCTAAACCTGCTTTTAGCCTCTTAACATCCTTGATTTGTCATTACGAGTGCACAGCCATGTGAGTGGTTTAGTGACCACGGTCAATCTGACTGCAGTAGATGTGAAAGATATAAATAAATATGATGTTAATTCAGCCAGCTCACATACCTCTATTTGCTTCCAGTTTTCGGTCGAAGCCCACAGTAGTCGATTGTCGCGTGCGATCAATAGTGAATATCATCTCAAACCTCCTCCTTGTGTTCAACATCTGATTCGGATGAACTATCCATCTGAGCTGATATTCTCAGAACACACAGTGGTACTGTAGGTTTGAGATGATATTCATTAATGATCGCGCGCGTGAACTCGACAATCGACTACTGTGGGCTTCGACTGAAAACTGGAAGCAAATAGAGGTATGTGAGCTGGCTGAATTAACATAATTTTTATTCTTTCACATCTACTGCAGTCAGGTTAACCGTGGTCACTCTTAATAACACCACTCACATAGCTGTGCACTCGTAATGACAAATCAAGGATGTTAAGAGGCTAAAAGCAGGTTTAGAACATGCCCCATTGAAGTCAACGACGATAACATGGTGTAGGCAACACCGATTTTTGTCGTTTTTGTCTGCACTGACAGCACTCCAAATGTACAAAAAAATTAGCTCAATATTAAAATTGACCGGAGTTCTCCTTTAAGGTCTTTTGCCTTTGTGAGGCAGAGTTATTCTTGGTCGTATCATGAAAAAACCTAAAATATATCATATCATCCAAAGAACCACAGCATCCACCTAGCAACATCATATTAAATACTTAGTGACTACCCTTACAACACCCCAGCAATGCGCCAGCAACAACTTAGAAGATCCTATCAACTACCTTGCAGAGCCACTGCAAATACCCAGACACCATAGCAGCATCATTATAAATGAAACTGATCCAGTCACCTGTTTTCTCTGTGAGGCTGGAAAGAGCGTGTCAATCTGCTGCGATGGTCTTTTCCAGGATACACTGATTCCCACAGTAATCACAGATATATAGAGTCATATTTCAGCTTTTAAATGCATGCCTATCTGGGGAAGTAAAACTCCCTCTCTGGTTGTTGATGGCCATATTTCTCTCAGCTCTGACAATACCGGTGTGTCTCATGGTGCGTTTCAGGGCCCGTTTAAAACAAAAGCCATTTTATTATTTATTTATTCTTCAAATTCACAATGTCTATACTAATTTTCCTCATTTGAATATTTTTCTCTGGAGGTCTCATTAAATGAATACTGATGAATGAAGTTCTATCACACTAATCATTACTGTTCTTCTGAAGTGTTATTGTGAATGTTCTCACATGCCTCCTGCAGAAATGTAAACTCACACCACAAATTTGCTCATAAAAGTGAGATTTTCAAATTCTCAGCCTTCGGCGTTAATGCTGCATGAACCTTCTAACTTTAATTAAAGGGGTCATTGGGTGCAAAATTCACGTTTGCATATAAATGTGGCTTCGCAGTGTGTGGACACGACCACCATTCACTCCTTTTTTTAGTCCTCAAACATTCAATAATCAGGCCGTTCGGATTTTTTATGATATCATAATGCTCATGCTCCACCCACGTCCACTGATGGACTGTCCTGTATTAGCATATTTCTGCCCTCAGCCATTCCACACCCCCCATGGAAGAGAGGGGTGGGGTGAGCAGTTGCTTATTATCATTTAAAGAGACATGCACCAAAACAGGTCTTTGTGAACAAAGCTGTTTTTGAGAAGCTAAAAAGGGTGTTGTTTTACACAACCATTGAGGAATTTTAACCAAAGTATATTACAAACTTTACATGAACACCCTAAAGAATAATATCAACTTGTGAAAAAAAATGGGCATCCGATGACACCTTTAAAGCTGTGAACTTCATTGAAGTTAATGTAGTTTAATGAGTGTTTTCTCATCTAATATCTATGCTTGATTGATTGCAGATACAGAATGCTGACGACGTTCTGATCACACCCTTGGAGAGATTCCGGAAGGAGCAGATCGGAGCAGCCAAAGTAAGTCATCCTATATCCCTTTAGACAATAACCAAAAATACCTTGGTATTTGGACCAACATGGCTAAAATATGCAACGGAGTCATGCTTGTGTGTGTATTTCGTATTTTGACTGTATACAAATCTTGTTTGCAATATTCTGCTATAATCTCCCACTGTGTTATTTATGATTGACATTTTTCCTTATAAGGCTTTTTTGCTGTTTGCATGATTTGATGGATATATTATATACCTGAAGATGGTGATATTTTATGAATGTTTAGTCATTAGGAGAGTGCCTTCATACCACTAACTAAAATGTAAAAGTGCCAAAGAAATGCATGTTTGCCCTGCCGTGTATTTTTTTAAAATATGTTGGAATACCAAGTAAATACCATAGTATATTATGAATATGGTAATAATTTAGTATCCATGTGTATATTAAACTACTGTGTTATGTGTGGTTGAAATTAGCATGATTAGAATGGATACCTGAAGATAGTAATATTTTATGAAAGTTCAGCTATTACAAATCTGCCTTTACACTGGCCAGTTTGTTAGTACCGTAGTATTATAGGAAATACATTTTGAATAGCATCAAATTTGAAAATTGAAATCTTTCAGTATACTGTATATTGAGAGCCATGATAATACCATCACTTTACCATTGATTGTACTGTCAGAGTACTTCCCAAAAGTGGTATGAACATCTGCTCTTGTTTATCTGTAGCTAAAATTATGATGGTATTATTTTAATGAGATTGAAATTGAGGCTCATAGTCCTTTCAATGTGTCATTTTGTGCATCAGGTCAGACATTTTTTTTTTTTTGGTCACAATTTTTGGTCTTCTTCAGACATTCTACTAACTATAAGTAAATTTGCAATCACATGTCACCTAGCAACAGTGTTGTGCAAGTTACTTCCAAACTGTTATTTAAAAGTAATTCATTACCTTACAATATTACTGTCCCAGAATTGTAATGCGTTACATTACTCATGTATTACTTTTGAGTTACTTTCACCAAAATAACTAAGTAGAACTTAACTTTTGGGCTGTAACGATATGCAATATGAAACCGAAATCGCGATTCGCCACACGACTCAGATCCACGAACCTACAGAATCGTGACAAACCTCTTCCAAATCCAGCATTATTCTCCTTACCGTCCAGATCCAATGCTGCCTTATCTTTAAATTAGGCTATTAGTAGTATTTGAAGTTAACATAACATTAACATTACACCACAAAACTAGTTGAGGATATATTGTTTAAAATTGGGGAAGTCCAGCATTATGGACATGACATTTGCAGTCAAAACTTGAAATAAAAATTCTCAGAAAATACATGTATTGAAACGTATATAGGCTACTTCCTTATAAAAATTCTCAGAAAATACATGTATTGAAACGTATATAGGCTACTTCCTTAAAGGACTCCAGACATTAGACAAATATCAGTCTATGTTTTATTTTTAATATTAGGGAAAAGACACACATTCATGCGTGACAAAAAAAATAGGAGGCAAAATCGATTTTTTGTAATTCTGTTAATTACACTGCGCAAATCGGATTAAGGAAGGGTTGACTCTCCAGTCTCCATAGAACTTAAAATATTCATTTTATTTTAGTTTTCGTGTTCGCATTTATGAGGAAAAAACAATGTTACTGATGCGACCGCTCTGAACTGGCACTAAAAGACTGCTTTAAAACTTTCACATAGTCTGTTGCCTTTAAGAAGTAAAAGCAGACAATACACTGTAATACAACTGTAATACAAGCCTCACTGAACATGTAACGAGTAAAATATTACTGAAAATTGATTAGTAATGCCTTACACTACTGCGTTACAGCAAAAAGTAATATGTTACTGTAATGTATTACTTTTGTAATGCGTTACTCCCAACACTGCCTAGCAATCAACAGAGTTTTAGTAGACTGTCTGCTTAATATGCTAACACTTTATTGTGATGCTCCCCAACAGACATTCTACTGACAATAAGTAACTTTGTAAGTAGTACGTACTAATTTTACTAACCCAAACCCTAACACAGTCTATAGTCGACTAATACTCCAACAACTTATGTAGAATGTCTAAAGTGGACCATTGAAATAAAGTGTACCTGTTTTTGTCTACTGTGAATCTTAGAATATTAAATTTTAAAAAAGCTAACCAAATTATGGAATCTTTATGTTGAATTTTAAAAAGCTAACCCAGCAGTCTTTCATATTGTGGTGAAGCGAGATATTCTGTGCTGCAAAACATAAATAAACCATCTTCACCAAAACTTTTTTTCCCACGGGTCCTTGAAATCCTTAAAAGTTTGTGAATCAGAATTTTTTTTCATGGCCCTGGAAAGTTTTTGAAAATAAACATACATAGATACAGGTCCTTGAAAGTGCTTGAATTTATTTTGTGCAAGAAATTTTATGGAAAAAATTCCATATTATGCCCTCCGCTCCACTAATGTGTTATTTTGCCAACACTTCGTAGCCTATGCACGTTAAGTGTTTCCACGTGAGGTACTTTTTGTACATGCCATGACGTTCACTTGCGCAAAACTAACAATGTATCCTACGATGTAACCTTGTTCTCACTTGAAATGTGTCCCCACATTAATTCCTTGAATTTAAGGGAATTGGACCTGGAAAGTCCTTGAAAGGTACTTGAACTTGGAGCTAACCAAGGTGTGGGAACCATCCATATATATATATATATATATATTTATATATAATAGAGTAATGAAATTAGATATAAAAAATACCATGATGCTACTATGTACACTTAGATACTGAATTATTACCATATTCATATACTATGGTATTTACTTGCTATTCCAAAATATTTAAAAGAATACTTAGCGGTGCAAACATGGTCATATCATTGGCATTTTTAGGTACTTTTTAGTTAGTGGTATGAAGGCACTTTCGTAATGGCCAAACATTTATAAAATATTATTACCTTCAGGTATTTAATAGGATTTTGTTAACAGCAAAATCCATATAAGGAATAATTGAAATCATAAATAACACAGTAGCAGACTTTGCCAGAATATAGTCCAAACAAACACGTTTCCACACTCTAAAAAATGCTGGGTTGTTTTAACCCAATTTTGGGTAAAATATGGACAAACCCAGCCATTGGGTAAAAAATGTCATTTAAAAATGTAACCCAATGGCTGGGTTTGTCCATATTTTACCCAAAATTGGGTTAAAACAACCCAGCATTTTTTACAGCCATACACATGTGTCTGCATCGCTATGCATTAAAGTAAGCAACATCAAAATATCCAGCAGTTTGACCCTGTAGGGAATCTAAAAGATCATACACACATATTCAGTCATACATGCAACTACACTCACTCTTACATAAATATACCTACACACATGCTGAGTGTCTTTTCAAGGCGAGTGTTAGGTTCAGCCATCTGTACATAACCCAAACCCCCTGATTTATGTTCCTACCTCAAAGCCACTTTTGATTTATTTTGCATGAAAAGGGTTTGTGCTTGTGGCTTGCTCTTTGTGGAAGGTTCACTTGCAGGACCCGAGGACCCGTATTCTCTCTCTGCTTTTGAGCGGATGGGTGGACACAGTGTAACCAGGGACTGATTCTCATAAATCGAGATCAACCGCTGTGGCATTGTGTTTGATTTTCAGTAAGATATTTGCAAAACAGTGCATTTAAAGGGGTAGTTTCCGCGATGAAAACAACATTCCTCATGTTTATTTGATGCTATAAATTAACTCGATTCACAATCAGCTTAAAGAGGGAGAGAGAACAAGCTATGGAATATATATATATCTTTGGCAGAAACAGACTTCCATATATTCTTGTAAAATGTCTTCATCAGAGTTAATTGGATGGTTGTGGTTTGTCATTGGTCAAGCTCATGTGAGTGCTCATTAGGGCTGGGTAATAAATATCGATTTATCGATATTAATCGAGAAATCGATTAGTCTTCCTGTTTTATTTGAATGAATGGAACAATGTATCGCGGCTGCGCGCATCCAAAAAAATCGCAATAATCTTTGTCCTTTTTTACTATTGATATGAAACAAAGTCTCAATTTTCAAATTACGTCCATTTTCTTTAGAAATTCAAAAACATAAATAATGTTTTGGCGCTGTGGCGTGAGATCGCTCTGGCGCAGCTCAAGAGAAGCAGCAGCGCTGATCTCTCTTTCGGGTAAATAATACAAGCTACAGCGCGAAATAAACACGAATGAGCATCTGAATGTGTGTTAAAAGATAGAGTACAACTTATCGAAATCCACATCATGTCACATTGATTCGCTCAATCAGCGTTTCAACCGTGGAAAGACGTCAGTTAATCAGCTTGTAATCAATGTCATGTATCGTCATATTTACCTCAGAAAACCCACATAAACTCGTTAGTCAGCTAGAAAAAATAACTCCAGAGAGGAGCATTTTGCTAAATATATACACTATATTACATATGCATTATAATCTTAATGTTCTTCAATATTTAATGCATATTTGAATAATCTGGCAAGTTTTTATGACAGCCACCATTTAAATGTTTATATTTCTTATAATCTTCTTATTATAAAAATAAATAAAAGTGTAATTTAAGTGATTCATTCATTATTACCTTCATATTAGGCTAATAAAGCCTAGTAGGCTACAACTAGTCTCCCATAGTTTACAGCATTAGTTAAGAGATCTGATTCCCTTGAGAAAAATTGCCATTTATTGTAACTGATATCCAAAATAATCGATATTGAATCGAATCGTAATCAAAATCGAATCGAATTGCAAGCTTGTGAATCGAAATCGAATCGAATTGTGAAATGTGTCTCAATACCCAGCCCTAGTGCTCATGATCACATAAGAGAAGGGATGTCTCTGCAAGAAAGAGGGCAAGTTATTTCAATTAAAGATTACAAGTGCACATGAATTAAATAATAAAACTTAATACTGCAATACTGCAATATTCCATAAAAACAAGATTGCATGGTGACTTTAAAAAATCGTCACCCTTCTTTCACCCCTAATCTTCTT